ACAAGCCAAAAGTCTGCCAGAAAAAAGATAGCTCTTTAATAAATGGTGCTGGGAAAACTGGTTATGCACTGGTTTGCATGGATACAGATCCTTACATCTCCACTGTAGCAAAATCAAATCAAATGGATCAAAGACCTAAACATAAAAGCAGAAACAGTGAATCTGCTGGAAGATAAAATAGGTAAAACCCTTGAAGACAGAGGTGTAGGCCAAGACTTTGTGAACAGATGCCCAGTTATACAGGAAATAATACCAGGAGCAACAGCTGGGATGATATCACATTGACAAGCTCTTGCATAGCAAGGGAAACAGCCAACAAGGTCAGGAGACAACCTACAGAATGGGGAAAAGTTTGCCAACTACTCTTCAAAGGACTAGCATCTAGACTGTATAAAGAACTCAAGTAATTGGACCCTCTCCAGTAAAGGAGCCGGTAAAATTGGGCAGTTGGAGTGAATATACATTTCTCACAAGAAGTAGACATTTCCATAAGTGCATAGAAAATGTTCAGCATCCTTGGCTGTTACAGAAATGGAAATCAAATCAACACTGAGATTCCCTCCTTACTCCAGAAAGAATGACTATCATCAAAGACAGTAAGTCATGGTGAAATTGTGTTTGTGTGGGGAGGACCTTTTGACATTGTCTGTGGAAATGTAAACTAGAGAGAATCAGTATGGAGATTCTGCAAAAAACGAAATAGACATTCCATTTGGCCCAGCTATTTCTCTTCTGGGTATCCTCCTTGAAGAGTTAAAGTCATTATATTACAGTGATACATGCATACCATGTTTATAGTAGCACATTCCTGACCACTGAGTTACAGCAAGCACCTGTATGCCCATCCACAGGCGAATGGTTAAAGAAAATGTGGCATACATTCACAATGGAACCCTGCTCAGCCATGAAGAAGGATAAAGTTTTTTGAGAAAGGGTAAATTTGAATCATTCATAGGAAAATGAATGGATCTTGAGACCATGATGAGAATTGAAACAAATCAGACACAGAAGGTTAAATGTCTCATGGTTTCCCTTGAGTGAGAAACTCAAAGTAGAATAATTTAGAGAGCAAAATAACAGAGAGCAAAATAGAAGAGAGGTACAGTTTGTGGTGTGGCAGGGATGGTGGGAGAGGGAAGGGCAGAGAGAAAAGGGAACCTGCTTGTGAGATATATATTCCAATTCCCCACGATTTACCCACAGTAAAGAAGAGGACGTCAGGCCGAGTGTAATAAGCCAGACACAAAGTCCGTGTGTCCTGTGATACCACTGACATGATGAATCCAAAATAGTTACACATGTAGAAGCAGGGAGTGGAAAGTTGGTTGCTGGCGCGGGCTGACCTCGAGGGGGAAGAGGCAAGTATCAGTCAGAGGGTGTAAAGGTTTGGTTACGCAGGGCGTGTAAGTCCTAAAGATCTATTGCTCAGCATAATGCCCACAGCTAACAGTATCACGTGCTTGAGAGTTGGTAAGCCAGCAGATTCTCCCATGCTAATTATTCCCTCTCCTCTCTTCTCCTCCCCGCCTTCTCCCTGTCTGACCCTCCCCGGTAACGGCAGAACTCACTTGTGCGTGCTAAGCAAGTGCTCTCCTCCTTAGTTACATCCCTGGCCTTTTCTGATTTTATTTTGAGACAGGGTCTCAAGTTCCCAGTCTGGCTTCAAGCTTGCAATCCTCCTGCCTCAGCCACGCTAGGAGTATATTATGACATGCCCCATCACATGTGGCCATTAAATATTCCCACCCGTCACAAACTAAAACAGTGTGTGTGTGTGTGGGGGTAAGTTTTAGAGTTCATGGATAAGCTCACTGCATAAATTGTGGCTGTGTCTTCACAGGTGTCTGTTCACTTCCAGAGTCCTCAGGTTGTGTGTGTTAAGTACACGCAGCATGTTTTCACCACGCATGCAGCACTTCCAGGAAGTGATCTAAAAGCAAAGCATGATGCTGTTCCCATCGCAGGTAGCTGCGAGGGTTAGGAGAGCCTGGTAAACAAGCCTGGGTCCAGCGGGTGAGGTGCTGCCCCAGTGCGTGCTTGCTGTAGTTGGGCATCTTCTCCAGCTGGTGCTGTCTGCAGGCCAGAAGCCCAGAGCCCTCTGTTCCCCCGGGACAGCCTTGCTACTCCTCTCCTTGTCTTGGTTTCCTTGTCTTGGTTTCCTCTGGTGGTTTCGGGCAGAGTTCCTTCCTCCACAGTGCTGGGCCGGGGTGTCAGCAAGGCCAGCTTTTCCCCGGAGCTCCGGGACAGAACCTTCTGGGCCCTTCGGCTTCTGCCTTCCTGTTTTGTTGCTGCTTAACTAGGGTTTTGGCCTGTGTGTTCACAAGACCGTCCCCTCTTCGTCCTCAGTGCCTTTGTGTTTCCTGATGAGGACATTTGCCTTGGATTTGGGGCCCACTGGGATGACCCAGGTTGGATTTACATTGGAATCACAAACTCTAAGCCCAGAGCCACAACTTAATGATTTGGTGTGACCCTGTCTCAAAGTAAAAAGCGAAGGGCTGACAGTACAGTGCAGTTGAGTGTGAAGGCCCTGGGCTCAACCCCATTAGTGGGAAAATAAAATAGAGTTTGAACTACCTCTGCAAAGACTGTTTCCAGACAGCGTGATTTGTGGGTCCTGGGGAGGAGGGCGGGTACGTCCCTCTGGGAGGAGGTGTTCCATTCGACTCCCTGGACCCCAAGATGGGAGTGTGGCTTTCCTGTCCATCCCTTCTTTGGAAAATCTCAAGAATGGACCTCCACCAGTCAGTTCAGTGTCACACCTAGGCTCCTCCGGGGCCAGGCGCCCCAAGGGCAGGTCTGGGAGCATTTCCACCTCACCCTCCCCTTTCCGTTTCTAGGAAGAAAGGTCTGCACTGCATGGCTGGCTCAGTGGTAGGTGGGTGAGGCTCTCAGGTCAGATGCCCCCCTATTCAGATGGGGCTCCTCCGCTTTTCTGGTCTCAGGCCCGGGCTGGCCACCGTGCACTGAGCTTGTTCTCATTCCGGACGGTGCCCTGGAAGAAGACCTCGGTTAGACTGCTTCCTGCAAGGCCCGGGCCTTGCTGTCAGGGGCTTGTTTCTGGGAAGCTGCTACCTGGTTTAGGACGCATGTCCCGGCAGCCCTCATCAGCGGCCTTCCCTGCAGGCTGATAGGTTCCTGGTATCTCATTGAGGAAGAAATCGCTCACTGTAATGTTTGTTTTCTGACAGCTCATTACCACTGACGGCTCTCTGTGGCCTGCTCCTCATGGGCTTGTTGCTAGTGCAGGTTCTTCCCAGCAGCTTTACTGTCACTTAGATCCAGAACGCTTAGATCCAGAACCGGAATTGCGAGTCAGCTGGGGCCAAGTGGTCTGAATCTGGCTTTGGGTCAGGAAGAGGGGTTGGTTTCAGTTGCGCATCCCCATGCCCCCTAATGAAGACCAGCCTGTAGTGCTCCTTCTCAGATGAACTGGAAGCCTCTCTTTGCAGGAAGGGGGTTATCAGTACATGGTCAGTTGCAGGTTGCTCTGTGGTTGACCTATGAAAACACAGGGATAACACTGAGATGTCCATAAACATTGTAATCATCAAGCAGTAGAAGATACCCACGTGTTGGAAGAGCCACAAAAGCCTGGCCATGTGTCCCCTGCAGAAGGCTCACAGAACGGGCCCAGGGGCTGGGCGGGTGGGGCAGGGAGGGAATGGGACACTCAGCAGTGCTCAGCTCATCCCTGTCACCTCGTGTGATGTGAGGCGTGCACGGCCACGCGGCAGAGGACAGGGACAGCCTGAGAAGGGACGGTCTCTTGGTCGTTGTCGGAGCTCTTTCTCACTCACTGATTCAGATGCTGACAGGAGCGCAGTGTCATTCCCACATTCCTGTGAGGTACCAGAGAGTGGCAGGTGTGTCCCGAAGTCTCATGTATGAAGTTTTACGGGTAAGCTCATCCAGGAGCCCAGTTTTTGCTATATATATATATATATATATATATTTTTTTTTTTTTCCTGTACCGGGAATCGAACTGACGACCACGCGCTTGGCAGGCAGGCGCTGTGCCACTGAGCTAAATCCCCAGCCCCTGCTATATTTTAATTAGTATTTTCAAGTGTGACTTTTGAATTATCCACTGTTACCTCCTCTTTATCGACTCACTCCCCAGCCTCTTTATTTGGCAGTGTGGTCTTTTTATCCCTATTCCCAAAATCCTCGATGAACTTCACTTGACTTCCTGCCTAGCAGAACCTTTCTTGTTTTGCCCTGCTGGTCACAGGAAGATCTAGAATTGAATTGAAGCTTGCTGGAGGGTAGTGGGGCTCTTGGTCAGGAACGTGAGCGGTGAGGGAGAGGAGTAGGTCTCTCAGGCTTCCCCGCAAAGCGAGGCATCACAGCCAGGCTCAGATAGGTCTCAGAGCTGAGTGGCCGCACTGGGGACAGCCACTGACAGCTCTGTCGGCAGGCAGTGAGGCTGCTGCCCCGGAACACCTTGGGGAGGAGCTTTGTCAAGAGCATTTGTGCCTGAAGCCCGACCTGGGCAGAGTGAGTGGATCCTAAGCAGAACCCAGGCTTCTGGGCATTTTAAAGTCCCTAAGGTGACTCAGCGTTCAACCACTTGAGCCAGAGAATGTTTATTACTGAAATCTCAAATACCTACTAGGTGGTAATACCAGCTCATTGTTTATGTTCCACGTTTGTAGGTTTTGCATGTGTTTTTCAAAGTGGTTTATATTTTTGCCAGTTTATCATTATTTTATTAAATATATGAGTTGCTCACCTGTTTGAAAGTGGAGTCTACATTAGTGGCCATCACCTTTGGCCAAGTCTTAGATTTGCTTTAGGAATTTATACAAATCCTCCATCCTAGTCCAGGCCACACCCAGACCAGTTAGTGCAGAACTGCTAAGGCTGGAACCGCACGTGTCTGTGGCTTCCCTGATAATTCCAGTGTAAAACTAACTTGGAAAAGTTTAAATGTATATTTATTGATTTAATTGTTTTGAAATGGTTTCAGTAAAGCACGGTCTCATTCTCTGTTTCAGGATATAATTGATCGACTTATCATTTTAAATTCTGAAGCTAAGATTCATTCTTTATTCAACTATGAACAATCACACATCTTTGGACTAAGGTAAGGTGCTCAATTTTACTTCATGTATTTTATATGTTATAAAGATGATGCATTTGTTCCATGTACTTTGAAAAGCACTTAAAATAGGCTGATTTTTAAAATTGTGTTTAAAGATAAATTTTCTTCCTATGACATTGTAGACAAATTCTGACACCTGGGTTTTCATACACTAGCCTTCGTCTGAACTCAGGGTCTGTATGTTTAGCGTCTTTCACTGCTGGTTTAACACAGACATATTGGGACTGTTTCGTTGGCGCACTCAGGAGTCACCTGGGGCACCCCTGTGTTGGGGTTTGAGGAGACTTTGCCCATATAAAGCTTTGCAAGAGACGTAGACACACATGATTTATCTTGAGGCCTAAACTTCATTGCCTTGGTTCTGATCATTACTCTTCAGCGTTACTTTTCCTCAGGCCTAAATCTTTCTGGTTGAATTCATATTCCTTGGCATTTTATGTAGCATGTTTGAATGGGAAATAAAGCAGGGTTGGTAGAGCTAAAGAGACTTAGGAAATTCTTAATCTTTTGGTCATATGCAGACATAGACAGGCCCCTACCTGTGAGTTACTGCCTTTGAAAGTGCTGAATTGAGGAAATTTTCCATTTTTCTAGGTTTGGGATTCTCTTTCCTTCTTCTGTAGTAGTTTTTCCTGTCCCTAGGGGAGTCTGATAATGCATTACCTGAAAAGTAAGGCAATTACTTTTCTAAATTTAGAATTCTCTAATGGGGGTATATTTTACAGGTCTATATTTCAACATAAAAAGAATCATTCATTAATAGATGAGCTTCGTTTTTGGTCTTTCTGGTTCAAAGAAGGCATAAAAATGTGCAGCTGTTACGGCTCTGGGTGGTATACCCTCTGTCTCAAAATCAGTTTTCATATTAAACTTTAATTTTCAGTTTATAGCTTCAGGTACCTCATAAGCAGTGAGGAGAGTGAGAAAATATACATTCCGTGGAGACTCCTTTTGCAAGGAGTTCTGGAGTGATAGAGTGATAGAACGTTCTGAAGTGATAGACTTCGAGGTTGACCTGTTGTTAGCGACATACCCAGTAAATTTCTTTTTTTTTTCTGTACATTTCTTTTTTTTTTTGTTTGTTTTGTTTTGTTTTTCTCTGGTACCGGGAACCGAACTCACGACCTTGCACTTGCCAGGCAGGCGCTTTGCCGCTGAGCTAAATCCCCAGCCCCTGTGTACATTTCTTTTGAACAATTTTCTCTAGTGTTCTTTTGGAAAAGACATTACAGTTGGATTTTATGAAGTTATATAAAAAAGTAATTCAAAAGGTGAAAGCTCCTGGGACTGCTTGTTAACTTTCACAGTGTCCGCTTTCTCATGCCACCCACAAGCACGCACTCTGCCCTGCCCTGCAGAGTTTGCCATCGCCTTGCCGATAGGTGGAGCGTGGCTGCGGGAGACGGGTGTCAGCCGGGGAGTGCGGGTCAGGTGCTTGGTGTTCGCCAGTTGTGTGAGGTGGTCCTGGTCCCGGTGCTGGTCCCGGTCCCGGTCCTGTTCCTCCTCTGCTAAAAGAGGAGCAAGCATGTTACTTTCTTTGCAGAGTTGCCGTGAGAATGACGTATGAAATTTAAACAGTGCCCGGCACGTAGCAAGCTCTGTGAAAACACTGTAGTAGCACTGTGTGAGTTCTTGCGCCTCTACTTGCTCTACCCCATTTCGTATTTCACTGTGAAATGTTTTTGGCTCCACTTTTCCGTATCTCAGTCGTCTTCCACACGCCACCTAAGAATTTGCTGTTTTTGTAACATCAGCGTCCAGACAGAAAACGAGAAAATTGCTTGCTGAGGAAAATTTTCTCTTAACTTCATGTGCTTTTTAAGAGTTATTTTTTGGTAATATGTTTATTTTCATTTGGTTTTGAAATTTATTATTTCCATAATCGAATTCAGTTGTATTTTTTAATACAGTGGAATTCATCTGAAGTCACTTCGCTCTTATTTTGCTGCTGATGTTAGTCTGTTAGTGGGGGTGAAGTCTGCGGTGAGAGCGAGTGTCATCCATGGCGTGATACGTGCGCCGTGTTTCTGAGTGCTGGGGTTTCCTCCGTATCGCCCTCTTCCTTCCTGCATACGCGGCTCTGCCGTTACTGTGCCACTGTCCTCAGGGGTCTCTCCTCCGCATGTCCCACATCCACGCTGCTTTTCCCTGTCCGCTCGAGGTGTGGATTCACCTCAGCACTAGACGTTGCGTCAGAGGGAGCTACACATGAGGCTTCATGCGATGCAGCTTTTACTTTGTGACAGCATCCCGTTCTGCTTACAGAGTTCTGACCTTTCATGTGTCCAGGTCTCCCTATAGATTTTGCACTGGAAATGTCTATGGTCTGTTCAGGTCGCCCCTCTGGGAGCTCTCCTGCCCGCTGTCCTCTTGCATCCTGTCCTCCCGGGCTGGGCCATTCCCGTCACACATGGGCTGCCTTCTTGAGCCTTGTTTCCCCACGGAACACACAGAATGCACACGGATGCCAGCCCTGACCACGCGTGCGCCCCCGGACACGGCCCTGCTCCTCTGCCTCTTGTACCAGAGTCGCGTCCACACCACCTGCCCTTGCTCAGTACCCCGGTTTCTTTCTGAGTGCCTTCCAGTCCCCTTTGACCTATGACTTTAGAATGTTCACCCTGCTCACATCGAGGTTGCTTCGATTCCATGTTCATAACCCGATGCCGGAGTCCCATCTGACGGTGACTCTCGGGAGCTGGTCACTAGGGGACCACTCCTCCCCCGGTGAGAGGTTGTCCTTCACTTGCTTGTGTGATGCTGACACTGCTCAGCATGCAGTTCTCCCTTACTCCAGGCAGCTCTGTACTGAGAATACCTGGACATGGGCCTGCTGTTCTCCTGTGTACTTGCCTCTGTTTTTTTTCCACTTTGCCCTTAAATGTTGCCTGTGTGTCAGTGGATGGCCTGGCTTCTACGCCCGACCCAGACTGCTCTTCCCGGCTCCCAGGTCACGTGCGAGCACCCAGACGCAGGTGCTTGTACTCCGGTGCTCGGTGTATACAGCCACGGCTCCCTGCACTTAACATCCCCGGGTGGAATTTTCCGTTTCCCACACGGCCTCCCGCAGAACAAACCAAAGGAATCTCTCCATGCTGTCTCATTAAGTGGCCCCTCGAGCTCCTTGGTTGCTTAACCCTGAAAGTCATCTTACTTTTTTAAATTTTTTCTTTATTTTCCAAATAGTAATTTATCTTTATTATAAAGAAATTAACCAGTGTGGGAAATTAAATATAATAAATTAAGTGAAATTCCTTCTAGTTCCCAAAATGTCATTACTAATATTGAAGAAAATAATTCTAGACATCTTTCTATGCATATGTGACAGGATAGAAATAAATGTTTTTTAAAAATGGGCAATTTAGATTCTAAATTTTATAAAAAAGGAAAAGAGGTCATAGTAAGACTAGAGAAATTGCTGAGTTTCAAGTAACTATTTTAAAAGGTTACTATTTTCTTAGACATTTTTCTAAGGTAAGAAAAAAGATTATGTAAAATGCTTTCAGAGGTTTGGACGTGGTATTTTGCTTTTAAACAGGATGGAGGGCGGGGGATATAGCCCAGTGGCACAGTGCCTGCCTGGGAAGCGTGAGGTCCTGAGTTGGATTCCCAGTACCACCAGAAAACCAGGATGGACTGAGAGCCGACTCCCTTCCCTACCCCATCTGTCTGTCTGTCTGTCCTGTGTCGCTCTGACAAGACCTTTGGGGCCAAAGCGTCAGGAAGTAGAGGGGCTAAGCTGGCCTGGGACTCCGTGCTGGCCCTTGGCCCGGCTGCGGGGACAGAGACGGGGAAGGAGCCACCTGTGTGCAGGGGAGGCCCCAGGCAGGGCGGGGAGCCACAGACCCGCCCGGCACTGTTCCTGTAGCAGCCCGGTCCCATGGCAGTCCGCTGGCTTCTCCAGGAGAGTGCTGTGGACCCTTCAGTGCTGGCACCCTGTGGCCCGGTCACCTTGCTCTGGGCCCCGCTGCCACCGTGTTGGGGCCAGGCTTTGGGGCCAGGAGCCCGGGGGTCAGCCCAGGCCACGGTCACCTCCGCAAGCTCGAGACTGGGTTTCCTCTGAAAGGGGGACGGGCTCGGCTCGTCAGCGGTGCTCAGCCAGGTGGCGGAAGGTGCGCAGGTGTGCTGCATGCGACAGCAGAGGACGACTGCTGACTCCCACTTCAGTGGGTGTCCACTTCACTCCCTGCCTAGTAGTTACCGAGCCGCGGGCCCTGCGCTGCCTCTGCTGCGGAGCTGCCGATGGCGCGTGTCAGACAGTGTCACCCTCGGTGACCTGGGCCAGCGTGGACTCAGACCTTGGGGTCAGGGGTGCCGGAGAGAAGCGCACCCCTGGAAGGCCTCCTGCTGGAGTGGACCCGGGCGTTCCCGCCCGCTGTGCGGCTTCGCAGAGCCTCACTCCCGTCGCGCCCTTGCTCAGCGTGCCGTCCTGCTGCCGCGTCCCTGCCGCTCCGAGCGCGAAGGGCTCCCTGGGCACCTTGCTGTCCTTCGCCCAGCCGGGTCGTGGATCCCGCTACCGCAGACTCAGTATTTAGTCTCCGCGTAGCAAACGCCGCCCGCCAGGACCCTCCTTGTCTTTCCTGTGCCCCACGCTGCCCCCAGGATAAATAAGCACACGTTTATTTGGGAAGTCTGTTGCTTAGTGGTACTGCAGATGCCTGGGAACTTCGGTCCTGCCCAAGGCTGAGCGGTTTAAAGTTTTCTTAACCATCAGGAGGGTTCAGAGCGAGGTTGTACTCTTCCCAGCACGTTTCGTATCGCTCAGTATTAATAGTTTTCCTTATAGCAAACTCCAAATTAAGTTTTACTTACAGGATGTAGAGTTGCTAGTTTTTAACAACCTAACCCTTATATAGTAATTCCCAATTAAATATACATTCGAATTTAATATTGTTAAATGTATGGATATGTTTTCCCTAAAGCCTATGTTTTTCTTTGTATCACTTTGTATCATATGGTTAACTTACTGTTAATTTTCTTCA